TCGCCCTGCTGCTCCCTCTTTGTGCAAGATCGCTGCTATGGTCCGAACATTGGTGTCTCCCTAAAATTCATATGTTGAGACCTAATGCCCAAGGTGATAGTATTGGGAGTTGGGGCCTTTGGGAGGTAATTAGGTGATGAGGTCATGAGAGTGGAGCCCTCAAGAATGGCATTAGTGCCCTTATAAATGAAGCCTGTAACCCAGAAGAGGGCCCTCACCCGACCATGCCTGCACCCTGATCTCAGACTTCCAGCCTCCAGAACTGTGAGCAATAAATTTCCATTGTTTATAAGCTACCCAGGCTATGGCATTTTATTATAGCAGCCCAGTGGACTAAGGCCATCTCTTTGAGCTTTAGTTCTCTACGTGTATAAGGGTTGAACAAGATCTGTGGTTTTCACCTGGGAAACTTGGCAGAGGTGTGCGGGGTTCCTGGTTCATCTAGGGCAACTCTGCTTTGGCTTATTTGATATCAGGCTCCAGCATAAGAAGCATGGACAAGGGTTCTTCCACCAAAGAAAGTTTAAACATATAAAGAGAAGTGCCCAGCCCAGGCAGCAGGTACTGCTGAGCCAGAATCTACCCAGTGGGATGCTGGCAGTGTTTGGGGAAGGAGAGAGGGGGCAGATGAGGGTTGTGGCAGTCAGGAGGGGCAGAAGGAGGCCTAGGTACTGCAAGGCTCCATCAGGCACAGGGAGCAGGGGTGGCCTCATATAGCTGGAGAGGTCACGGGGAGTGGGCTTGGAAACATCAGAGAACCAGAGCTTTACCTGTCAGACCCAGGAGCCCAGGCCTTCTCCTTGTCTGCAGTGGGGACCAGAGGAAGAAGCCTCCAGCCGTCACAGAGATAAGCATTTGCCAAGTGCCTGCTGTCGGCCAGGATTGTATAGTACTGTGTCAGGAAGGATTCAGAAGTGTAGCTGACGAGATCCGGCCTGGAGCAGGAAGCTCCCAGACTCATTCCGCATGGCCCCAGGCTGTGTCCCCACTCACTCAACAAGCTGATGTAGCCAGCCTCAGAGGTGACCTCAATGATCTCAACTGACCTCCATGATCCCCTCCTCCTGGTGCATGCCCTTATGTAGTCAAGGTGGGAGGGCCCATATTGAACAGGGTTGACTTGTAACCAATAAGACATCAGAGAAATGACAATAATTTGAATTAATAAATGAAGATATTAGAGAAATGAGTGTGACTTTTGAAATTGGATCAAAAAGGACATTGAAGCTTCTTGCTCTCTTGAATCACTCACTCTGGTGGAAACCAACTACCATGCCATGAGTACACTCAAGGAGTCCTGTGGAAGGGCCCACATGGCAAGGAACTGAGGTCTCCTGCCGACAGCCATGTGAAAGACTCATCTTAGAAGTGGACCTGCCAGCCACAGTCAAGCCTTTATATATATGACTGCAGCCCTGGCTGACATTTGACTGCAACTTCATGAGAGACCCTGAGTCAGAACTATTCCACTCAACCACTCCCAAATGCCTGATCCACAGAAACTGAGATAATTTATATTCATTGCTCTAAGCCATAATGTTTGGGGATAACTTGTTACCCCAAATCAGTACAAGTGATGCTACCCTGCACCACACCCAAGACATGGGCCCCACTGTCATTTGCTCAATGGACCACAACAATAGTTCTTCCCTTGTCTCCCTGCCTCCTGTCCCAAGCCCCTTCAATTTCTCCTCCATGTAGGATCCAGACCAAACTGAAGGGCCGTTATCAAAAAACATTTGTTGTTCCATCACGGTCCTTGCCTGCTCAAAACCTTCCATGGCTCTCCACTGTATTTTGTGTTATTTCTCAGAAGTATTTACAACTGAGCAGGAAGTGTGATGGTGGAGTCCCTGGCATCCCTGAGCTGATTTGGGAGCAAGAGTCCTTGTTTACCCTGGCCCCCTGGAATGACAATTCAAGGCCCCCCTGGGGAGGATGGGAGGGGCCCCCTGGCAGCTGGGGCTGAGACAAGGCAGAAGCTTTGTTCTGAATCAACAATGGCAGGATGCCCAGCACAGACCCAGCTTCCTCCAAGGCAGGGTGAGGGGATGAGAGCTGGGGCAAGAGCATGCCCTGGGGCCCTCGATGTGCAAAGGAAGCCTGGGGGTGGGGGCAGCAAGAGAAGTCTTGGGAGAGGAACTGGGAGGCGTTTGTAGTGAGCCAGTCTGCTAACATGGCTCGAGGACCTGTTAGGTTTGTGAAATAAAATTCATATCTAATGGCAAGACAGGATAAACCTAAACATATAAAATTCTTCTCTGCCTTTTGGCCTCCTCTCTCCCCACACTGTGCATTGTGTATCTGCATTTATGCATCGACCAAACCTCCCTCATAAGCAGGAATACCTGCTCAACCATAAAGAGCAACATTCTTCCAGCATCCAGGCAACTCCTTAAAAGATAACACCCCTTCCTGATCTTCTAAGGGGTCACATGACCCACCACGATGATGCTTAGATCTGGATTATGTAAGTTGTCAATAATATGTCATTTGATGTACAGCCCTCTGTCTTAAAAAAAACTTACATAACTGTGCCTGGTCTGCTAATGAGCGGAACGGTTCTCAGAGCTTTCTGAGATGCTCATCCTTTTATTTGAGCCATCCTCAAATTGGCTCTAATAAAATTTCCGTTTCTTTCTTAGATCGACTGGTTAATTTTTCATCCACAAGTTTAAGGCACTGTCGCTAAGCACTGGGCATGTACGTTAGCTCCTGCTGCCTCCCAGAGCCAGACGGGTGAGGCTCTGCCGCTGCCCCCACTTAACACGCAGAGCCACAGGAGGGGAAGACTCCCGCCCAAAGTCACACAGCTCAGACACACCAGGGCTGGGGTTTGAACCCGGGTCCAACCCCTGCTCTTGACTGGTATTCTCTCCCACCTACTCCATCCACACCAGGCTCTGTGCTGGTGCTGGGGAGACAGCGGTGAGCAGGCAGTTCTGAGAGTGGGATGTGCTCAGGGCCCTGCCTGGAGAGGTGCAGGGAGCTGGGGTGAGCTTTGTGGCTTTCAACCCAGCCTGGCATGGAGAGGGGGAGGGGTGAGGGTAGGGAAGAGACCCCCCCACCCCCACCCCCAAAGGAAGGTGACATCTGTTATCCAGAGATGGCTTCCCAGCAGGGACTGGGCACAAGGAGGGAGGCTGGGGAGGTGAAGTGTCTCGCGCAAGGAAACAGAACAAGAAGCAGAGTCCAGAGGGCTGTCAATGGGAATCACCTGATAAGCCCTTCCCTGTGAGTATCCCTGTGAAGCCGGCAGAGACCAGACAGGTCCGACAGGCGAGAAAGGGGGCCAGGACACAAACCCAGGCTTTCTGACTGCCAGGCCAGTGCTCACTGTGCCCACTGCGGGCAGGGGTGGTAGGGAGGGCTTTAACTCTGACCCTGAGGGAATCATCTCAATGCTGGGTGGCCCCCAGGTCAAGCACAGCTCCAATTCCCCCCACTCTGCCCCCACAACCGCCAGGGGCTGGCTCTGATCTGATGGGAGGCTCACTCTAAAGCCAAGCATTCCCTGGGGCCCAGGAGCCAGGGCCAGGGCGCTGCAGGAAGCTCCTACTATGGCAGGGGGCTCCTTGAATGGGGAAGGTCCTGAGGACCAAGGAGGCGGTACCCACCTGAAGCCATTCATCCTCTGTCCTGTCTGGCCAAGCCTCAGTGCGGAGCCCGGAGGTATCCAGGCTGCACCGGACGGGGCAGGGCCAGTAGCATCTCTGAGTCACAGGGAGGGTGGGTGGTGAGTGACTCAGCCTAGGACCACTTACCCTCCGCAAGACGGGCCTGGGCTGAGGCCAGAGCCAGGAAACCCTGCGCCTGTCCTGCCCGGGCCAGGTGCCTCCCAGGCCCTCACTGCCCCCACCCCCAGCCTGGGGCTGCCTCTCCATGCAGCCCTGTCTATCACTGGCTGGCACAGCAGTCCTCCACGAATTCTGGCTACGTGAAGGAATGCACGATTCCTCCGAGTCCCAGGCCCCCGAGACCCCAACCCTGGCCTGGTCTAGCTCCCATCCTCCCATTTTCCAGATGAGCCGAGGCTCAGAGAGAGTGGATGACTAGCCCAAGATAGGGACCAAGCCCACTGGCCCCATCGTTCTCTCTCCTCCCCGGGCCCCGCCTACCAGGCTCCTCACTGGAATCCTCTCCTCGGGGATGATCAGCCCATTTTGTAGATATGGAAACTGAGGCTCAAGGAGGGGAGGTACCTACCCCAGGTACACAGTGAGGCAGGCGGAGCAGGATTAGGCCCCAGGTCTCTCTAACCCAGGCAGGGACCTTATGGTTTTTAACAGGTGGCCCCCAGCAGAGGCAGGTAGGTGGCGGGAGTTAAGTGCTTACAGCCAAGGGAAGGATGAGATGTGATGCAGCTGAGCTGGGCCAGCCCTCCAGGTGCCCCCGCCCCCCAGTGCTCCTCCTTCCATGGAGCCACTCGATTCCTTGCCCTCTGCGCCCACAGCCCTGGGCACGGCCCCTCATCCAGGCCCTTTCTTCCTCAGGCTTCTTTTTTGGTTTTTCTTTTAGAGGAGGGTTGCATGTTTGGGTTTTCACCCCCAGGCAAGGGTTTCGCCATGAGAAAGGGAGAATCAGATGTAGAAAGTGGACAGCAGACAGGTGACCAGCATGTGCAGAGGCTCCGGTGGGGAGGCTTGGTGTCGGGGGTTGGGGGGGGTGGACCTGAAGGAAGCGGGTGCAGATGGAAGGTGGAGCCCAAGGAGGGGAGAGGGGAGAGGAGCCTGGTGAAGCTGTGGGGCCAGGCCCCGAGGGCCCTATGGTCTGGGGCAGGAAGCTCTGACCTTGTCCCAAGAGCAGTGTGGAGCCACACAAAGAGTGTGTTTTAGGAGGTGCCCCCGGGGCTGCGGGAAGATGGCGTGCAGGGGCCGGAGCAGAGGGCTGGTGTGGGGCCCTGGCCAGGCCCTGGTTGGTAAGGGAGGGGGTCCTCATTTCCTTGCGGGCAGCTGGCAGCTATCGGCCCTTGGCTGCCACCCCGAGGAATGACACAGGTGTACAAGCAAAAATAGTTTATTTGAGGACGGAAGACCCAAAACTGGGGGCCCAGGGCTGAGGCCACAGCAGCTGCCTGGAGTTGGCACAGACGACCCCAACTCCCTAGCGAAGCCCAGCAGCAAAGCCCTTCCCTGGGCCTCCTAGCTGCCTCCCCAATTTCCTGGAGGAAGGATTGTGCGACCCCCAAGAATCATTATCATCATCATCACCACCATCATCATCATCTTCATCATTAGAACACGGTGAGGTTTTCAAAGTTTGGCCAGCAGTTTTCGGCGTAGTAGTTGATACTAATCGTAATAATTATTCTGACAAGCACAGTCAGTGACTGGGCCGGGCTTGGACCCACCATCCAGTGGTGAGTGGGGTCTGTGATGAGGAGAGGCAGGCAGGGACAGGAGGTGGGTCTCTCTGGGAGTCCCCATTCCAGCCTCCAAGGTGGCCCTGCAGGAAGACCCATCTCCCCCGACGGCCCCAGAGGCTGCCCACTCTCCCTGTTTTCCCATGGCCACGGGCCAAGGCTGGATTCAGGCTAAGGCAGTCCCGCGTGGTCCCTGCGCTCCCTCAGGTCTCAGAGACCCTTGCCAGGCTGGTCTCTCCGCCAGAAGCCCCGGCGGGCAGCCCAAGAAGCCACGAACTCGCAGTTGTGGTAAAGGAACATTCCTGAAAGGGTGAGCGCAATGCCCACATAGCTGAGGGTGCTGAGGCAGCTGCCAAACAGGAGCCGGGAAAGGATGAGGTTGCCCACGACAGTGAGGTTGCCCAGGACGTGGACAGTGAGGGCCGAGGTGAGGGCCAGCAGGGAGAAGCTGGCCAGGTTGTAGAGCACAGACAGGAGGCAGCTGAGCAGGATACAGGCCCAGAGGCGGGAGTCGGTGGGGGCGGGCGGCGGTGCCACGCCAGCCTCCAGCACCAGGGCCGCACCTGCCAGCAGGCAGAAGCTGGGCACCGAGGTGGCATACAGCAGGGTCACCGCATCCAACCTCTCCTCCTGCAGCAGGGCACCTGCAACCAGGACAGCAGCCATCAGCACCCGGCGCGAGACAACCCCCACGAGGCCAACCCAGCACAACCTCCTCCTTGGCCCATCCTCCAGGAAGCCTGTCTGCCCCAACCCCTCAGGCGGAATTAGTGGCTCCCACTCTGTAACGGGAAGGTCAAGAATCCAGAGTCAGACCCGGGTCCGCTCCTGACTACCTGTGACCTGGCACTTAAGCTCTATAGGCCTAGGTTTCCTCACCTGCAAAATCGGAGGATAATAAAACCTTAAATATGCAGGGTTGTTGTAAAGATTTAAACTGATAATGTACATAAAGCCCTTAGAAGGTAAGTGCTCAGTAAATGTAGAAAGATAAGATAAATAAGCGTTATCACCTACTCCTCCCACAGGCTGAAACAATAATCTGCTTGTGATGTCCCACTGATCAATAAACATGAAAAAAAAAATTCTTCAGGGGCTCCCCAGGCCCTGGAGAAAAACATCCTGGGCTCTTAACCAACTTTGAAGGCCCTGAACCAAGCGGCCCCGACCCAGCTTTCTTAGCTTCAGCCCTTCTCGCACCCTCAGCCCCACAGTGCAGCTCCCATGCCAGAGTAGGGACAGGCCACCAGCAGGCCAGTTCTGCCACTTACTAGCTATATGGCCTTTAGCTTAAAAAAGATAGAGAGTTTGAAATAATAAAAACCATTTGAATCATATGTTCGATCACTTATGACTACTGGGATGACAGGGAACAACAAGGTCATTGTTTGCTCCCGGCTGTCACTCACTGTTTATCGCTGATAATCAGCATCTTTTGCTACCAACGCTGGGGCTTGTCAAGATGAATCCAGGACACAGAGGAAACCTTAGTCTTTGCGAGGAAAGAGGGGATCCTACCACCTTGCACATGTGTGCCTGTGTGTGTGTATTCATATTACCACCCAGCTGGTTCACAAAACCAGCGGTGCCCATCATAAAATCACACCCGGCTCAGATGAAATGATAGTACTTGCATGAAGGCAACGAGACAGTTTTTGTGGATAGAGATGAGTCATGGCTCCCCATCCCCTCCAATGGCTCTCTGAGACTCTATGCATTTTCTGACACACACTTTCCAAAGAGCCACAGAGGTGCTTACTCATAGGCTATGCTTAGAATAGGAAATCTTATTTCTCTCTCCATTTCATTCTGATGTTTTGGCTTTGTTCTCTAGGCAACAGTCCTTCTGTCAAGCATTTCTAGAAATGAACAGATAACTGGAATGCCTCCTGTTTGTCCGCTCCAAATTTAGCACCATTACGAGCTGCCCGTGGCCTGCGATCACTGGAAGGTGTTTAGGATTTCAGGTGAACTTCATCTTTGGCAAATTTCACCCTCTGAGAGGCAGCCAGGCAGGAAGGTCCTAACTTCCTCCCCCTGCCACTTGCTCCTGTTCTGCATCCCACCCAGCCCT